CAAGGTGTGGGGGGGGTGGGCGGGAGGAGGGTATGGGGGGGTTGGAGGAGGGTCTGGGGAGCTGGAAGAGGGTTTGGAGGAAGGTCTGGGGGTCTGGAGGAGGGGCTGGGGGCTAGAGAAGGGTCTGGGGATGCTGGAGGAAGGTCTGGGGACTGGAGGAGGGTCTGGGGGGGCTAGAGGAAGGTCTGGGGGTCTGGAGGAGGGGCTGGGGGGGCTGGAGGAGGGGCTGGGGGGGCTGGAGGCGGGGCTGGGGGCTGGAGGGGGGTCTGGGAGGCTGGAGGAGGGTCTGGGGGCTGGAGGAAGGTCTGGGGCTGGGGGAGGGGCTGGAGGAGGGTCTTGGGGGCTGGAGGAGGGGCTGGGGGGCTGGAGGAGGGTCTGGGGGCTGGAGGGGAGTCTGGGAGGGGCTGGAGGAAGGTCTGGGGGCTGGAGGAAGGTCTTGGGGCTGGAGGAAGGTCTGGGGGCTGGAGGAGGGGCTGGGGGCTGGAGGAGGGGCTGGGGGCTGGAGGACGGTCTGGGGGGGCGGCTGGCAGAGGGGTCACCAGCTGTGGTCAGCAGGTCCCGGACGGAGCGACGGTGGCCCTGGTCCCCTGCCTCACCAAGCACGCCCTTCGGGAAAACCAGGACTACGTCCCTGGAGAGAGTGAGTGCCCCCCCGCCCCGCCCCCTGCACTTGCTCTGCCCGGCGGTGGCCGGCGGTGGGGAGAGGACTGACCTCAGGGTGGGCCCGGTCTGCCTCCGTCCCACCCAGCGGGGCCGCCCGGGGGCCGCCCGGGGGCTGCAGGACCCCGGCTCAGGGCGTCCTGGCACAGGGACCCCGATGCTGGAGGACGTGGACGAGGGCGGCGTCCGGCCCTGGCACCTGGTCAAGCCCAGCGAGGAGCCGGAGCCGCACCGGCGCCGGAGGGGCAGCCTGCGGGGCGGGGAGCGCGAGCGCGCCAAGGCCATCCCCGAGATCTACCTGACGCGCCTGCTGTCCATGAAGGTGGGCAGGCGGCGGGGCAGGCGGCGGGGCAGCCCGCGGGTCCGGGGTGCCGGCCCCCGTGACCGCCGCCTCGGCCCCCAGGGCACCCTGCAGACGTTCGTGGACGGCCTGTTCCAGGCGATGCTCGGCGCCGGCCGGCCCGCCCCGCTGGCCGTCAAGTACTTCTTCGACCTGCTGGACGAGCAGGCGGCGCAGCACGGCATCGCCGACCAGGACACCGTGCACATCTGGAAGACCAACAGGTGGGCAGCGGCGGGCGCGGGCCGGCTCCGCCCCGCAGCCCGCTCACACCGCACCCGCCGCCCGCAGCCTGCCGCTGAGGTTCTGGATCAACATCATCAAAAACCCGCAGTTTGTGTTCGACGTGCAGACCTCGGACAACATGGACGCCGTGCTGCTGGTCATCGCACAGACCTTCATGGACGCCTGCACCCTGGCCGACCACAAGCTGGGCCGGGTGAGCGGTCAGGGCCAGGGAGGCCGTGGTGGGGCGGGTGGTACGTGCACACAGATCCCAGGCCCTCCATGCACACAGATCCCAGGCCCTCCATGCACACAGATCCCAGGCCCTCCATGCACACAGAGATCCCAGGCCCTCCATGCACACAGAGAGACCCCAGGCCCTCCATGCACACAGATCCCAGGCCCTCCATGCACACAGAGATCCCAGGCCCTCCATGCACACAGAGAGACCCCAGGCCCTCCATGCACACAGATCCCAGGCCCTCCATGCACACACAGAGAGATCCCAGGCCCTCCATGCACACAGAGAGATCCCAGGCCTTCCATGCACACAGAGATCCCAGGCCCTCCATGCACACAGAGAGATCCCAGGCCCTCCATGCACACACAGAGAGATCCCAGGCCCTCCATGCACACAGATCCCAGGCCCTCCATGCACACACAGAGAGATCCCAGGCCCTCCATGCACACAGAGAGAGATCCCAGGCCCTCCATGCACACAGATCCCAGGCCCTCCCTGCACACACAGATCCCAGGCCCTCCATGCACACAGAGAGATCCCAGGCCCTCCATGCACAGAGAGATCCCAGGCCCTCCATGCACACACACAGATCCCAGGCCTTCCATGCCCTCAGAGATCCCAGGCCCTCCATGCACACACAGATCCCAGGCCCTCCATGCACACAGATCCCAGGCTCCGCATGCACACAGATCCCAGGCCCTCCATGCACACAGATCCCAGGCCCTCCATGCACACACAGATCCCAGGCCCTCCATGCGCACACAGATCCCAGGCCCTCCATGCACACACACAGATCCCAGGCCCTCCATGCACACAGATCCCAGGCCCTCCATGCACACACACAGATCCCAGGCCCTCCATGCACACAGATCCCAGGCCCTCCATGCACACACAGATCCCAGGCCCTCCATGCACACACAGAGAGATCCCAGGCCCTCCATGCACACACAGAGAGATCCCAGGCCCTCCATGCACACACAGAGAGATCCCAGGCCCTCCATGCACACACAGAGAGATCCCAGGCCCTCCATGCACACAGAGAGATCCCAGGCCCTCCATGCACACAGATCCCAGGCTCCCCATGCACACAGATCCCAGGCCCTCCATGCACACACAGATCCCAGGCCCTTCATGCACACAGAGATCCCAGGCCCTCCATGCACACACACAGATCACAGGCCCTCCATGCACACAGATCCCAGGCCCTCCATGCACGCACACAGATCCCAGGCCTTCCATGCCCTCAGAGATCCCAGGCCCTCCATGCACACACAGATCCCAGGCCCTCCATGCACACAGATCCCAGGCCCTCCATGCACACACACAGATCACAGGCCCTCCATGCACACAGATCCCAGGCCCTCCATGCACACACAGATCCCAGGCCCTCTATGCACACAGATCCCAGGCCCTCCATGCACACAGATCCCAGGCCCTCCATGCACACAGATCCCAGGCTCCCCATGCACACAGATCCCAGGCCCTCCATGCGCACACAGATCCCAGGCTCCCCATGCACACAGATCCCAGGCTTCCTGAGAACCTCAGGAGGGGGGAGGGCCACGACAGGCCCCTGCCCCGGGCCAGGCCAGGCTTTGTCCCTGCTCCCGGGTAAGTGGGGGGCCTCATTCTTGAAGGATGAGCAAGGAGAGGAGCTGCTGACTCACGGGGTTAAGACAGGGCAGCCGGCAGGGGCGGCAGGAGGCAGGCCACGAGGTGAGGGCTTTGCGGGAGCAGCGGGAAGTGCAGGGCTGTCTGGTGGCACAGGGCGGGGCTGTGCTGTGACCTTAGTCAGAGTCCAGAGCGTCTGGACACATACGGGCCGCCCAGCAGGCAGGGCCCTCCGGCCGTGCTCCGTCCAGGCCTGACGGCTGCCTGTGGCCTCCTGAGGGCGATCTCTGCCTCTCTGTGCCGCTGCCTCCTGTGAAGCCGTCAGGAGCTGAGACCGCAGCCCCAGGGCCTCCATGGCGCCCACGGGGGCGGCTGGGTTTCCGTTCCCGGGTCACTGCCTCCCGGTCCCAGCAAAACTGCAGATGCCCCCTGGGCAGCTCAGGACGCCAGGCGTCCCCCACGGAGCAGCTGCCCATCGGCCCGGCCCGGGCTCCTGTCCCCCTCAGGGCCCAGCGCCATCGGCCTCAGCCTCCCAGCAGCCCCGGGAGGTGGCAGCTGGCCGCGGGAAGGAGGCTGCCGCTCAGAGCCCTCACGGGGGCAGAGCTGGGAGCCGCTCCCGGGGGTGGGCGAGGAGGCGGCTGCTGGTGGAAGTTGCAGGCTCTCATCTAAGAGGCTTGCTCCTGGTCCCAGCTCAGCCACGCGGGAGTGGGTTGGCCTGGGAAACCGACTTCACGTCCCCAGTCAGTTTTCTGATTTTAAAAATGATCGCCTGGGGACCCTGGCTGGTGTGGCTCAGTGGGTAGAGCGTCGGCCTGTGGACTGAAAGGTCCCGGGATCAGTTCTGCAGAGTGAGGCATGCAGGAGACAGCTGATCCATAATTCATGATTCTCTCTCATCACTGATGTTTCTCTCTCTCCCTCCCCCTTCCTCTCTGAAATCCATAAAATAAAAGTAAAAAATGATCCCTTGGGGAGTGGGCAGCACCGGGAGGCGGGAGGGCTGCTCAGGGCGCCGGCCCCGCCTGCCCTGCCGGCCGGCCGGGCCCTGCTGGGTCCAGAGGAGGCCCCGGAGGCCCTGAGCTGGGAAGGACCTTGGAGCAGGAGGGAGGAGCTGGGGAGCTGCTGGGGGGAGGGGGGCGAGGTGAGAGCAGGGCTGGCCGGGAAGGCGGGCGGAGGAGGAACTGGGGCCGCTCCTGGGACAGTGGGTCACGCTCACGGGCTCCTCCTGCTTCCCCCTCCCACCTGCCCCGGCCCCAGGACTCGCCCATCAACAAGCTGCTGTACGCCCGGGACATCCCGCGCTACAAACAGATGGTGGAGAGGTAGGGGCCGGGCCGGAGGCGGGAGCAGGGAGGGGCTGAGGCCCAGGGTGGGGGTGAGGGTAAGGGGGTGGGGGGTTGTGCTCCAGCAGCTGCTCCCCACGACCTCTGACCTCCGCCCTCCGCCCTCCGCCCTCCGCCCTCCCCTCCGGCAGGTACTACGCTGACATCCGAGAGGCCGTGCCCGCCAGCGACCAGGAGATGAACTCGCTGCTGGCCGAGCTTTCCCGGGTGCGCCTGGCCCTCGCTCCGCCTCTGGTTAAGACGCGCCCCCCCCCCCCCCGCCCCGCGCACGCCTGCTCTGTGGGTCTGCGGACAAAGCCAGGCGGCCAGGCTGCTGGGTTCAGCCCCGCGCCCCCTTCTCCTGAAGGAGCTCCCAACGTCAGCCAGAACGGGCACCCGGTCCCGAACCCGTGGCCGCCGCAGCCTCCGTGGCGGCACTCTGGCTCGGTGCTCGGAGCAGGGGCTCCACTGGCTTCTCGCTGGGCCCTCAGCTCCACATCCCAGACGCCCGAGGAGGGGCCGGGACCTCGGCGTGAGGCCAGACCGCCTGGACGAGGACCAGGGCCCAGCTGGGCCCCAGGGCGAGAGGCAGGCCGGGGCCCCCAGGCCGCGGACACTGCAGGCGGCTCCCTCCCCCCCCTGAGGCCCCGCCCCCCCCCCCGGCTTCTGGGCCTCCTGGGGGCTCATCTCTGTGCCCCCGTCTCCTCCAGAACTGCTCCGGGGACCGGGGGGCGCGCGTGGCCCTGCACGAGCTCTATAAGTACATCAACAAGTACTACGACCAGGTGGGCGGCGGCCGGGGGGGGGGGGGGCAGCCGGGCGGGGAGGGGGCGGCCGGCCCGGGGGGGGGGGCAGCCGGGCGGGGAGGGGGCGGCCGGCCCGGGGGGGGGGGGCGGCCCGGGGGGGGGGGGACGACAGCCGGGTGGGGGGAGGGCGGCCGGCCCGACGGGGGGGGGGGCGGCCGGGGGGGCAGGGCGGCCGGGAGATGGGGTGGGAGGTGGGAGGGTGCTGGGGAGACGGGGTGGGCGGGTCCTGGCCCTGCGGAGCTCACAGGGCCGGGGTCCCCGCGCTCAGATCATCACGGCCCTGGAGGAGGACAGCACGGCGCAGAAGATGCAGCTGGGCTACCGGCTGCAGCAGGTGGCGGCGGCCGTGGAGAACAAGGTCACGGACCTGTAGGGCCCCCGTGGGCAGCCCTGGCCCCGAGGGGGCCGCCTCCGTAGATGCCTTAGCGCCAGCCGGCCATTCGCGGAGGTGGCGCTGCCCCCGGCGGGCCTGCTGGGCCCTGCCGCCCGCACCCCGCGGCCCGCGGCCGGGAGGCTGGGGCGGCACCGGCCTGCTCCCGGCCCGGCCTGCTCCCGGCCCGGCTGCTCCCGGCCCGGCCTGCTCCCGGCCCGGCCTGCTCCCGGCACGGCCTGCTCCCGGCCCGGCCTGCTCCCGGCCCGGCTGCTCCCGGCCCGGCCTGCTCCCGGCACGGCCTGCTCCCGGCCCGGCCTGCTCCCGGCACGGCCTGCTCCCGGCCCGGCCTGCTCCCGGCCCGGCCTGCTCCCGGCACGGCCTGCTCCCGGCACGGCCTGCTCCCGGCCCGGCCTGCTCCCGGCACGGCCTGCTCCCGGCCCGGCCTGCTCCCGGCCCGGCCTGCTCCCGGCCCGGCCTGCTCCCGGCACGGCCTGCTCCCGGCACGGCCTGCTCCCGGCCCGGCCTGCTCCCGGCCCGGCCTGCTCCCGGCACGGCCTGCTCCCGGCCCGGCCTGCTCCCGGCACGGCCTGCTCCCGGCACGGCCTGCTCCCGGCCCGGCCTGCTCCCGGCACGGCCTGCTCCCGGCCCGGCCTGCTCCCGGCCCGGCTGCTCCCGGCACGGCCTGCTCCCGGCACGGCCTGCTCCCGGCCCGGCCTGCTCCCGGCACGGCCTGCTCCCGGCCCCGCGCCCCGTGGACCGCGCTCAGCCCGTCGGCCTCGGGGCGTCCGGTACGAAGGGAGACTGCACTGTCCTGGACACTGGCCTGGTCCCTGCGGGGTCCCCCCAGGAAGGAGGGGCCCCGCTGTCTGCCCCTCCCTCCGCCCTGACCTCATTGAGCCACCTCGGCCTCTGCTGCTGCCACGGCCCCAGGTCCGAGGGGCGGGCCTGCTCTGGGCCCTGCGAGCTGACCCGGGGGGCTGCCCCGGGCCCGTGTGAGGGCACTGCCCGCGGGCCGTGGGGGGCGCCCGGACCGGCTCCCCATTAAAGGATAACACACTGCCTGGCCTCTGCTCTCTGCGCCCGCCAGCCCCTGCCTGGTCCGAGGTGCCCGCTGCCCGCGATCACCGGAGGGGTGGGAGGTGGGCTCGGCATCTGGGGGAGGCCTTCTACCCCCTTCCCTCCCCCTCCCCAACGCTCCCACTGGCCACCCCTGGCTCCAGGGCAGGGCTTGTCCTGTCTGGAAGGGACGGGAAGGCTGGCATCGTCCGGCTGATGAAGCAGCGGCTCACGGCTGTGCCACGGGCCTGTGTCTGAGCTGCCCGCCCCATCCCCTGCCGGGGGCTGTGAGGGCTCCTGGGTCCTGGGAGGGCTCCCCAGCACGGAGCTTCTGCATGGAGGTGTCCTGGGCCCCTCCCCACACTGACCCGCTGTCCACACCTGGGACCCAGACCTTCAGGGCGGGGCCCAGAACTGCCCTCCCAGGACCCAGACCTCCCTCCGGGGCCCAGGTCATCATGGCGGGCTGAGAATGCCAACCCGGGGCCAAGGCCACAAAACCGAACACAGTGGTGTGTCGGGACTAGATCTGCATAGGAAACCCAGACCACCATTCCATACCCAATGTCCCGTTGTGGTACCAGACAGCCCCCCAGAGCCCAGACCTCCCTCCCCGGCCCCAACAGCCACCCCAGGACCCAGACCTCCCTCCCGGTCCCAGGCTTTACTTTTTTATAATTGATTTTCCACAGAAAGAGAGTGGGATAGAGAGTTAGAAACGTCGATGAGAAACATCAATCAGCTGCATCCACACCCACCACTGGGAATGTGCCCACAACCAAAATCTGTGCCCCAAACAGTAAATCAACCTGGAACCCTTCAATCCCCAGGCCAAGGCTCTATCCACTGAGCCAAACCGGTTTTGCCAGGCCCCAGACCTTTATGGCGGGGACCAGAAGGCCATTCCGGGGACCCAGACAAGAACCCATTGCCTATCCCTTTATTGGAGTCTAAATACCCAGGCTCGTCCACACCACCATTTCATCATCCCAGGTCCTGCCCTTGACACAAACCTCCCAGCTGGGCCCATAGCGCCCCCTAGTGACCACACCTCCCTCCACACACCCAGACCTACATCCGGGGCTCAGACCTACATCCAGGTCTCATACCATCATGGCGGAGCCCAGAAGATTATTCCTAGGCCCAGGCCTCAAAAACACAATAGCCTTCTATCAGGACTGTAGTTCTCAATCTGTAACCCAGACCACCATTCCATAACCCAGGTGGCCAGAGGAGTACCAACACTGCCCCCTGGGGCCCAGAACTCCCTCCCTGGCCCGAAGTGCCCTCCAAGGACCCAGACCTAATCTGGGGCTCACACCTTTTTTATGATTTTTGTTTTTGTTTTGTTTTTTTCCACAGAGAGAAAGAGAGTGGGATAGAGAGTTAGAAACATTGATGAGAACCATTGATCAGCTGCCTCCTGCACACCCCACATTGGGGCTGTGCCCACAACCAAGGTACATGCCCCTGAAGGCAATTGAACCTGGGACCCTCCAGTCCCCAGGCCGAGGCTCTCTCCCCTGAGCGAAATCGGTATCCACCGGGTCCCTGACCTTTATAGCTTGGACCAGAAGGCCATTCTGGAGTCCCAGACTAGAACCCATTGCCTATCCCTACCATGGAGTGTAAATATCCGGGCGAGTCCAAACCACACATTCCCCATCCCGAGGTCCTGCCCTTGACCCAAACCTAGCACCTGTGCCCACAGCGCCCCCTAGTGACATCACCTCTCTCAGAGACAACAGACCTACACCTGGGGCTCAGACAGACCTACATCCAGAGGCAGCGAAAGGACCTACACCTGCGGCTACATCCGGGTCCAGACCATCATGGTGGAGCCGAGATTATTCCTAGCTTTTAACATCGGTAAAGCGGGACACCACTGACCGGGAGGAGGGGTTCTTGATTAAAAATTTGGTCTATATGGAGCAACATAAACTTTCATAGAACACAAAAATAGTATTGTATTTTTTTTAAATTTTAACATAAGTACAATTTACAAATATAATAAATAAAAATTATGTATAGTCGTGTCACTTTCAAGGCCGAAGCTAGACTGTTTGCCGCCACTATAAAATATAAGTAATATGAGTACTGTCTGCTAAATTCAAGAAAATTTATGTATTTATGAAGTAAATAAATAACATACTTAAATTATCTGAATAGCTGATTTGTAATGACATCACTTGTTTAACTAGCTTACTAGCACGCAGTACATGTGTATTGTCTGAGAAACAGTTACAAAATGTTTTCGTCGTTGCCAATCCCAAAAAATGCCATTGTTCATTAAGTCCAAATGGTGGTCAAATTCTAACAACTGGTCAACAATGCGAACTTTGATAAGCAGTTCTCGATAATCAGTTCTCAACAGTTTTATTATTATTAAAATTTAACATTATAAAATTAACAAAAATACTATAAAACTCATATCCTGGCTAGCCACATGGCCGCCGAAAACCGTATTTCCTTCCCGTTCTCCGTCGTCCCCTAGCTTGTTCTGGTGGGCTGTCTGGTACCACAACGGGACATTCTTTCCAAAAATCGGGACTTTTTTAAAACACTGCGGAACGCGGGACACATTGTTTGAAATCGGGACGGTCCCGCCAAAAGCGGGCCGTCTGGTCACCTTACCCTAGGCCCAGGCCTCAAGAACACAACACAGTCTTGTATCAGGAGCGCAGTTCTCCATCTGTGACCCAGACCACCATTCCATACCGCAGATGGCCACAGGGGGCACCAAGACTGCCCCGGGTGGTCTTACCTCATCTGAACAGCCCTCAGTGAGCAGCGGACAGCCCTCAGTGAGCACGTGATCAAGGGGCGGGGCCACGTGAACAGCCGTAAGTGAGCACGTGAACAGCCGTAAATGAGCACGTGATCAAGGGGGCGGGGCCACGTGGACAGCCGTAAGTGGTCACGTGAACAGCCGTGAATGAGCACGTGATCAAGGGGGCGGGGCCACGTGGACAGCCGTAAGTGAGCACGTGAACAGCCGTAAATGAGCACGTGATCAAGGGGGCGGGGCCACGTGGACAGCCGTAAGTGGTCACGTGAACAGCCGTAATTGAGCACGTGATCAAGGGGGCGGGGCCACGTGGACAGCCGTAAGTGGTCACGTGAACAGCCGTAATTGAGCACGTGATCAAGGGGCGGGGCCACGTGGACAGCCGTAAGTGAGCACGTGAACAGCCGTAAATGAGCACGTGATCAAGGGGGCGGGGCCACGTGGACAGCCGTAAGTGGTCACGTGAACAGCCGTGAATGAGCACGTGATCAAGGGGGCGGGGCCACGTGAACAGCCGTTAGTGAGCACGTGGACAGCCGTAAGTGAGCACATGAACAGCCGTAAATGAGCACGTGATCAAGGGGGCGGGGCCACGTGAACAGCCGTAAGTGAGCACGTGGACAGCCGTAAATGAGCAAGGGGGCGGGGCCACGTGACCACGCGAGAGTGGCACTGGGGACGGCGGCGGAGCCACCCGCCCGGCGCCCCCCACCCCACGGCTCCCAGTCCGGCTCTTCCCGCCTCCGCCTTCGCACCTGCAGCCGCTCCTCCGGGTGCCGTCCTCCTCCCATCCGGCCGGGCTTTCCCTCCCCGGACCGCCCGGGTCCCCGGCTCCCGCACCCGCACGGCCTCCCGAGGGGCCGGTGGGGGGGGCCGCCACCAGGAAACCGGGGTCCCCGGGCTCCCGCACCCGCACGCCTCCCGGGGGCCGGGGTGGGCGGGTGGTTTTCACTGAGCTCCTTCCGCGCACAGCCTCCCCTGGGCCTGCTTTAACGGTGGCCGCTCCGCTGCTGGGCCGGGGGGTGTGGAAGGGCCTGGGAGAAGGGCGGTTGGGGTTCACTGATTGCAGAGGGGAGATGGCGCCAGAGCAGGGTGCCCGGACTGTGACACTGGTAAAGCCGGACACCCGTGACCGGGGACGGGGATGGTTCTGCATTAAAAGTTTCTGTATGTTAAGGGCATGAAAAGACATGTCCTTCTGCGAATGCTGATTTTTCTTCGTCCCCATAAGTTGTCTTCCCAAGAAAATTGCTGTATTTTGGAGGAAGATGCAGCAGTATTTAAATATGTTTTATGTTTCTGTGTCTCCAAGTGCTTTAAAATGTCATTCTACCCGCTGTGGGAAATAGAAAATTCACCATTACATTTCCCACATTTTACCATGTGATCACTTGTTTTTTTTTAATACAGAAAATTCACTTTTTAGATTAAAAAATTTTTAAAAAAGACTGTCCCCCGAGGCCCAGACTCAATCCCTGGCCTCCCAGGACCCAGACCAGCATCCGGGCTCAGACCTATATTTGGGTCCTAGACCTTTTTTATTTTTATTTTTATTTATTTATTTTTTTTTCTCCAGAGAGGATAGAAACAATGCTGAGACCGGTTTGGCGCAGTGGATAGAGCGTCAGCCTGTGGCCTGAAGGGTCCCGGGTTTGGTTCCGATCAAGAGCACATGCTCAGATTGTGGGCTTAAGCCCCAGTGGGGGGCGTGCAGGAGGCAGCCAATCAGTGATTCTCTCTCATCATGGATGTCTCTCTGTCTCTCCCTTCCTCTCTGACATCAATAAATTTTTATATATGTATATAAATGTCTACTTTCCCAGCGCCCCTCCTGTGGCTTATGGTTCCCAGGATGTCCCTCGGTTGCTCGCCGGCTAGAACCCTGACCAGCGGATGCAGGGGCCTTCCCCTGAACCAGCGTCAGCCTAACCCCCTTCCCCAAGCCCGTGCCCGCGGAACCGTCCGGAACCGTGTCTGTGCGGCCGACCACATCCGCGCCCTCAGTGTCCCACGCTCCCCGATGCTCGGGCCAAGGGGACGTTTCCCACCCTCCTGCGTCTGAGCGTGGGACTCATGGGCTGCCCGGGTGTGAGCGTGGGACCCATGGGCTGGCCGGGGTGTGAGCGTGGACAGCCGTGAATGAGCACGGGGTGTGAGCGTGGGACCGGTGGGCTGGCGCGGGTCTGATGGATGGGGCCATCACGCCGATTTCTCCAGTATCACCACACGACTGTCTGAGTTTGCAAACAGACTCTTTACTGGGCTGCAGGGAGGAGGGCGAGGGAGGAGGCCAGGGAGGAGGCGATCCCGCGAGCAGCTCCATGGCCTCAGGGCGGCAGGGAGTACATCACCAGCACGCTGGTCTCGCGGTTCCGGGACACCACGCACACCACGCTGGCGTTGTCGCAGGCTGCCTGGGAGGGGAAGCTGCGAGGAAGAGCAGCCTCAGAGCACGGCAGGGACCGCGGACTGCTGTGGGGTTTGTTTACTTCTTAAATGTTTACTGATTTCAGAGGGGAAAGGGGAGGGAGGGAGGGAGACACATCAATGATGAGAGAGAATCATTGATCGGCTGCTCCTGCACATCCCCATTGGGGATCGAGCCCACAACCTGGGCATGAGCCCTTGACTGGAATCGAACCCGGGACCTTGAGTCCGCAGGCTGACGGATGGCGTATCCGCGGAGCCGCTCCGGCCGGGGCAGAGGCCCCAGGACCCTTGCCTCACGCCGAGGGCTCACCAGCTGGGCGTGGGGTCGGCCCGCCGCTGCTCCAGGTGGCAGCAGCTGCGGAGGCGCGGGGCCGGGCCCTCCTCCCACATGTACAGGTGCAGGAAGTCGTCCATGGCCGTGGTGACCACGTGCAGCGCGTCCTGCGGGGACGGGCAGCGGTGAGCGCCCCCGGAGCCGCGGGGCGGGGGGACAGCGGTGGGCGCCCCCGGAGCCCGGGGCGGGGGGACAGCGGTGGGCGTCCCCGGAGCCTGGGGGGCGGGGGGACAGCGGTGGGCGCCCCCGGAGCCCGCGGGGCAGGGGGACAGTGGTGAGCGCCCCCGGAGCCACGGGGACGGGCAGCGGTGGGCGCCCCCCGGAGCCGCGGGGACGGGCAGCGGTGGGCGCCCCCGGAGCCGCGGGGACGGGCAGCGGTGGGCGCCCCCGAAGCCGCGGGGCGGGGGGACAGCGGTGGGCGCCCCCGGAGCCCGGGGCGGGGGGACAGCGGTGGGCGCCCCCGGAGCCGCGGGGCGGGGGGACAGGGTGGGCGCCCCCGGAGCAGGGGGACAGCGGTGGGCGCCCCCGGAGCCACGGGGACAGCGGTGGGCGCCCCCGGAGCCCGCGGGGCGGGGGGACAGCGGTGGGCGCCCCCGGAGCCGCGGGGACAGGCAGCGGTGGGCGCCCCCGGAGCCCGGGCAGGGCCACGCACCGTCCACAGGTGGCAGATGTGCCGCTGGTGGTGGTCGAAGCGCTGCAGCAGCGTGCCCTGGATGGAGAAGAGCAGCAGGTGCGAGCCGCTCTGCAGCACGATGGCAGTGCCGTCCTGCACCCCCATCTGGAACGGCCGCTCCATCCTGTTCGGCAGCATGAAGCTCGCCACCCGGTGGGCTGTTTTCGGGGGAAACACGCGGTCAGAACCACATCCTCACCCTGAACGGAGAGACGGAGAGGGACGCACAGACGCCCACCCGCCCGCCCGCCGCGGGGCTCAGGGCTGAGCGGCGGCCTAGGGACCAGGAGGTCAGGATTCGATTCTGGTCAAGGGCATTTGCCTGGGTTGTGGGCTCGATCCCCAGTGTGGGGCCTGCAGAAAGCAGCCAGTCATGATTCCCTCTCATCCTTAATGTTTCTCTCTCTCCCTCTCCCTTTGTCTCCAAAATCAGTAAAAATTATTCTATCTAATAAAAGTAATATGCAAATTAACCATCACTCCAACACAAGATGGCCGCACCGTGTGGTCAAAAATGGCTGCCCCCATGTGGACACAAGATGGCCTTCAAGGGAGGGCAGGTGGGGGATCAGGCCTGCAAGGGAGGGCAGTTAGGGGCAACCAGGCTGGCGGGGGAGGGCAGTTGAGGGGGACCAGGCCAGCAGGGAAGGGCAGTTAGGGGCAATTGGGCCGACAGGGGAGCAGTTATGCATCGATCAGGCTCACAGGGAAGCGGTTAGGGGCGATCAGGCAGGCAGTGAGGCGCGCGTTGGGAGCCAGCAGCCTGGATTGTGAGAGGCATGTCCCAGAGTGGAGAGGGTGCAGCCTGGGCTGAGGGACACACCCACCCCCGTGCACCGTTTCCGTGCCCGGGCCTCTGGTTTAGAAAAAACATCGCATCGGCCAGCCTCCCGCGGAGCGCCGCCCCAGGAGCCCCGGCCACCTTCCACCACGGCGGTGCCGTCGGCAGCCGTCCTGGCGGCCAGGTCGAAGGTGCTGAAGCCGGTCCTCCGGAAGGACGACTGCTGGATCATCATCGTCACGCGGTTGGCGCGCTGCCGGGCCCAGCAGGCTTGGCTGCAGAAGGCGAGGGGGAGGGAGGCCCACTGGCGGGAGTCTCCCCCGGCCTGAGGCCTGAGCAGGAACTGGGCGGCGAACACCTGCGGGAGAGCAGGGCTCCTTGTCTCCGGCTCCGCAGAGGCGAGGCCGGGAAGCCCTGCGCCACCCCCTCCCCTGCCCGCCCAGCTGGGGCCCGGGGGCCAGGGCCCGGGTTCGGTTCGGGCAGGGCACGTGCCACGGCTGCGGGCTCCACCGCAGGGGGCGGCTGGCCCAGGACTCCCCCTCAGTGCTCCTCCCTCTCCCCTGCCCTCATGAGCCCCAAGCAGAAGGCCTTGGTCCTCAGCCACTCAGGCCACCCTGCCCGGCCCTCAGGTCCACGCACACAGAGTCCCCAGCGCCCCCTCCGGGCTCCCGAAGCCACATGGCCCCACGGACCCCCATCAGGGGGCGGGAGGTGCCCCTCCTCGGAGACCTGCAGAGGCGGATCCACTGGCCACGCCTCCCTGAGCTCCCTGCTCCCACGCCCGGCCCCTGCTCACGGCCTGCTCGCCCGGCCCCTGGGGCTGAGCGGAGAGAGCAGCGGCCTGCGGGCCAACCCTCCCGGGTTCGATTCTGGTCAAGGGCACATGCCAGGGCTCTACCCACTGAGCCAGCCGGCCAAGGCCCGGCCCTCCTCCCCCTTTGGCCGGCCCTCCCTGCCTCCCCCTCGCCCTGACCCGGAGCCGGAGCCGGAGCGCAGGGCGGCCCCACCTTCGGCATCATGAGCTGGAGGGTGGCTCCGGCGAAGACCCACTTCCCGTTGGGCGAGAAGCGCAGGTGGTTCACTGTGTGGTCGAAGGCGTGGACGCGGGACACGCGCTCCAGCAGGGGCACCGTCAGCGTGTGGATGTCGCCGGCGGAGTCGCCCACCTGCAAGCAGCCACGCCCGCCCCTCGTCACGGCCGGAACCCAGAGCCGGGGCAGCCGGGCGGCGGGGCGGGCCGCCATGTCTGTCTGTCTGTCTGTCTGTCTTTTAAAATATATTCCATTGATTCTTTACGGAGAGGAAGGGAGAGGGACAGAGAGTTAGAAACAGCGATGCGAGAGAGACATCGATCAGCTGCCTCCTGCACCACCCCCACTGGGGACGTGCCCACAACCAAGGTACACGCCCCTGACCGGAATCGAACCGGGGACCCTTCAGTCCACAGGCTGACGCTCTATCCACTGAGCCAAACCGGTCTCGGCTGTCTCTTTTTTTAAAATATGTTTTTATGATTTCAGAGAGGAAGGGAGAGAGAGAGAGAGAAAGAGAGAGAGAGAGAGAGAGAGAGAAACATCAACGAGGAGAAAGAACCATAGGCCGCTGCCTCCTGCATGCCCCACACCACACTGGGGATCGAGCCCACAACCTGGCACGTGCCCTGACCAGACTCGAATCCTCTACAGGCCGATGCTCTATCCGCTGGGCCACCCCGGCCAGGGCGGCGCCATCTCTTCACTCACAGAGGGAGCCGAACTCCTTGGCCAGCCTGTCCCTCGGGGTCGCAGGGACCGTCCCAGGGCCTGAGCCCTCGCACATGACCCTCCGCTCTCTTCCCAACGCCCCAACCCTCGCCGCTCCCAAGGGCGCCTGGCCCAGCTCACGTCCCCCGCGATCAGACACACGGGACAGGAAACGAGGGACGAAGGAATCCCGGCGGCTCCGTGTCAGAGGAGTGGCTGAGGAGAGGGGCCCAGAGGCGGCCTCAGGAGGGCGGGGCGGCCCTGGCCGGTGTGGCTCAGTGGATAGAGCTCTGGCCCAAGGCATGAAGGGTCCCGGGTTCAGCTCCAGGCAAGGGTGTGCACCTCGGCTGCAGGTTCCCGGCCCTGGTTGGAGTGTGTGCAGGAGGCAGCCCATTGATGTGTCTCTGTCACATCGACCTCCCCCTGTCCCACTCTCTCTCGCGGGAAGATACCCTCCGGGGAGGGTGTACAGGGAATGCCTGACCGGCTGGCTCCGGGCTGGAGCGTCGGCCTGTGAGCCGGAGGCCTCTGCGCACGGCCCATTTCACGGCACGTGGCACTTTGTGGGAGAGCCACACTCAGGGGGCAAAGAGCCGCGGTTTGCCCACCGCTGCCCGAGGACAACGGAGACGAAGGAGGAAGCCCCAGAGGGGACGACACCGGAATCAAGGCTGCTGCTCGGCCAGAGGAACCGCCCACAGAGCGAGAGCCGCTGCGTGTTCTCTACGTAACAACCGCAAACGCACGATATGCTAACGAGACCGGGCGTCCTGGACGAAGCCGGGCTGCGAGGGCCGAGGCCCTTGCGTGAATTCCGTGCACCAGGCCTCTGGGATCTGGTGAGGGTTTCGTCTCAAAAAAGAATAAAGAGAATAAAGAGAAGGCAGGCGGGGAGGCGGCGGGCGCCGGGACGGACGCGGGCGCTCACCATGGCCACGGCGCCGCCGTCCACCACGAAGGCGTCCAGCGAGAGGCAGGGCTTGGGCAGGCTGCGCGTGGCCAGCGCGTCCGCTTCCCGGCAGTTCCACACCTTCACGGTGTCCTGATGGTCCACGGTGACGGCCAGCCCCCGCTCGGGCAGGGTGGCCAGGTACATGATGGTGGTCTGCTGCACGGGGCTGGCCCAGATCATGGTGCCCTGTGAGGAGGCGGGGGTCAGGGGGCGGAGGGCGGGGGTCAAGGGGAGGAGGAGGAGGGTGTCCCTTCTGCAGGAGCAGAGCTGAGGAAGGACTGCTGCTTGGTGGCCACGTGAGGGGCTGTGCACAAGAGGAGGGTTAGGGAGCCCGCCCGGGTGGCTCAGTGGGCAGAGCGTCGGCCTGCGGGCGGAAGGGTCCGGGGCGGATCCGGTCAAGGGCACACACCTCGGAGCAGGCTCCTCCCCGGCCCCAGGCCCTGGTCTCTCTCACGGCTGTTTCTCTCTCTCCCCCTTCCATCCGCTCCCTTTCATTCTTTCTTAAAAAATTAATCAATAGCCAAAACCGGTTTGGCTCAGTGGATAGAGCGTCGGCCTGCGGACTGAAGGGTCCCGGGTTCGATTCCGGTCAAGGGCATGTACCGTGGTTACGGGCACATCCCGAGTAGGGGGTGTGCAGGAGGCAGCTGGTTGATGATTCTCCCATCCATGTTTCTAACTCTCTGTCCCTCTCCCTTCCTCTCTGCAAAAAAATCAATAAAAATATATATTTTAAAAAATTAATCAATAAAAAAAATCAACGGGAAACATGTCCTCGGGGGAGGGTGGGACATCTGAAAAGCGATTCTGCACCTGCTCCGGGATAAGCGGAGGCGCACGTTTGGGACGGTTTCCGTGGCCCTCGGGCGCCCCTCCCCGCATGGCCTCGCGGGCGGGACGGCGGCCCAGGCCTCACCTCCTGCACGTCCCAGGCGAAGAGCATGCGCCGGGTGGACGCCGAGCACAGGATGGACCGCTGTCCGCTCTGCGTGGGGTCGCTCCCTGTGAGGTAGGCCATTGGCTTCAGGATTCCTGGAAGGCAAGCAGGCCGCTGGCCCAGGCGCCCGCAGGCGCGGCCTCAGGGGAGGGCTCTGGGCGGCCACGCCACGTCCCCCAGCCTCCGGGGCAGGACGGGACGGCTCCGGTCACCCATGGCCGCGCGGGGGGGGGGGGGGCGGGGGGACCGATTTGTTCTCCTCCTTAAGCTCAGTTTCCAGAGATACAAAATGGGGAGTTGACAACAGTTCGCCGGGTCCCAGCGGGCTGGCTCGGTGGATAGAGCATCAGCCTGCCGAGGGCAGGGTCCCGGTCAGCGCCCAGGCCCCGGGCTGCAGGCTCCGTCCCCAGTAAGGGGCGGGCAGGAGGCAGCCGATCCGTGATTCTCATCACGGGTGTTCTCTCTCCCTTCCTCTCTGAAGTCAGTGAAAAT